AATTATCGCATTTTACCGGCTAAAGTCTCAATTTTTAACCGACGTCAAACGACATCCAAAATTCAAAAAAACTCAAAACAGAACATCCTCATAATATACGTGGTCTATAGTCAAAATATCGCAACCCAATTCAACTCCTAACACATTTAACCGAGAATCGCTTCAACCGGTCAAATACACATAAAAATCGGTTTGCCTATCAAACGAACTCCAAACTTTACAAAATCTGAACCTAAGCCTCAAGACATTCAATTATGATTTATCGAGTAGGTTTCATAATTTTCTGGATCAGCCCACTATTTATTACGAATTTCTTGTCATCTAATTCAATAAAATCATATAAATTCAAATCTTGCTCGAAATCCCCAAACTCATTTTTATAATTAATTAAAACTAATTTCTAATGCCATGGAGTCTTGGCTCAGCCATCAAATCGAAAATCGAAAAGAGATCGGGCTATGCAAGGTGCTCGGTTGCTTGAACCGAGTCGGACTTGAACCGGTCAGCTCGGTTTTGGTGCACGTCTGGACTGAACCGGTCAGCTTTGTAGCAGCTGGTCATAGATCTGAGGTGAGAGGGTCGAATCTAGCTCAGTTCTGGTGCTGTTGGTACAGATCGGGCTCGGTGTTGGTGTACACGAGCTGGAACCGGGCTTACGGAGTTGCAAAGGCGCGGGCTCGGGCACTTTCCAGCGTAATAGAGCTGGTACCCACGGGAAAGACGTCGAGGATGGTGAACCTGTGGTCGCCGGAGCTTGGGACGATGGGGAAGAAGGTCGCTGGCGCGAGATCGAGTTGTGGTCGTCGGAGCATGCCGAAAATAGCGTGAATGACTGGTTCACCGGACGCATGAAGGAGAGCTGCTGCAGGGTCGTCGGAAAACGAACTGCACACTGAAAGAGGAGCTGCTCGACAGTGGGCTGAGCTTCTCGCTGAAAAAATGGAAGGCGGGGAGCTGTGAGGTGCTGGACGAAGATGGATAGCTCAAGAACGAGTTGACCGACGTGTAGCTCGGCGTGGTGAGGTGCGGATGGTTCTAGGCGCAGTGGTCCGCCGAAAAACAGACGTGGCTAGGGCTACCGAAAAATGAAGGTTTTGCCAGAAAACATGGAGGTAAATTGAGCTGGACGGAGGCGTGGGCTTTGCCGGCGTGAAGACCTGCCGGCGTGGAAGTCGCCGTAGGACGGCGACTCGCCGGAGGTGATGGCCGGATTTCGAATGAAGGAGTGGAAATGTGCTAGGGTTTTGAAGCATAGTTGGGCTTCATTGTTGGGCTATTAGAACATTAAAATCAGGCCTTAGTCTTGGGCTTAGGATTTAATACAATCGGCTATAAAATCCAGCTAGTAATTTAATTCGTCTTAGGCTCGATTAAATTGGATATCGACTAAGGAATTAAATGCTCGGCTAGAAAAAATAATTGAACTCAGACTAAGTAAATTAGTCGGTCCACTTTACTAAAATAAGTGGGCTCGAATTTAAAATCTGACATAGGCTCGATTTTTAAAATGGACTAAAATAAAAAAAAAATCGAACATGTGCTCGATTTACTAAAATGAAATGGGCCGAAATAAAACTGAACAAATTCTCGATTAACTTAAATGGGCCTACAATAATAATTGGACTCATTCGAAAATGATTGAGCTCGAATAAATTATTTATTTAGCTACGGTCCATTTTAATAAAATTTCCGATCATTCCAAGGCTCGGTTTTAAAAATATAATCTATACTTAGGCTAAATAAATCCGACTTTAATAATTAAAATCGAATAAATTCTTCATGGCTTAGACTTTAATACTAATTACTCAATTTAATGCAAATAATAATAATAAATGTATCAAATTAGGAGACTGACTATTTATAGAAATAATGTCGAGCTCCATAAATAGTAATTGAAATACTGAGCGTTACAATCTATCCTCTTTAAAATATTTCTATCCTCGGAAATGCTAAACTAAAATACAAGTCAAAACTCAAAACTAGGATTCTTAGCTTTAAATTCGGTCTTCCTCCTACTAGAGATTTTGGCCATGCCAAAATTCGCTATGTGCCTATGGAAAGTCCCAGAGCATAACTTTAGAAATTATAACTTGGGATCTTCGGAGGAAGCCCATCTTTCCCTCTTAACAGCATCGATCTGGCTACGGCGACGCTTCTAGTCTTAGGGAGAACTGAGTTGTAATTACATACTATGGCGGTCTACCTTGTCAGGCTGATCGAGTTTCACCCGATTAGACAAAGTTTACCGTACACTTCGTCAGGCTGATCGAGTGCTACACGATTAAACGAAAGTGTTGACTGTATCTGGCTGATCGGGCTTGCCCGATTAGATAGGGTCCGTTATGTGCTTCATCAGGCTTATCGGGCTTTACTTGATTAGACAAGCACATTTGCCTTGTCAGGCTGATCGGATTCGTCCGATTAGACAAGGGCTGTTGTATGCTTAGTCAGGCTGATCGGATTTACCCGATTAGACGAGCATGTCTACCTTGTCAGGCTGATCGGATTGGCCCGATTAGCCAAGGTCTGCTGCACTCACGCCAGGCTGACCAGGGTAGGCTGGTTAGGCGGAGATCTCTAACATGTGATATGTAAATGGTAGGACCTACTTGCAGGTCATTTCTCACTCCCGAACACTTGGTCGGGTATCGTGTGCACATTCGGATGGAATTCACTGGGATTCCATTGCTCACTCCCGAACACTTGGTCGGGTGTGCACATTCAAATAGAATTCACTGGTATTCCATTGCTCACTCCCAAACTCTTGGTCGAATATCGTGTGCACATTCAGATGGAATTCACTGGGATTCCATTGCTCACTCCCGAACACTTCGTCGGGTATCGTGTGCACATTCGGATGGAATTCACTAGACTCCATCAAAATCTGGGATTTGTAGACACTTGGCTAATAAATCAGGTGTATACTCTGATGGAATACGCTGGGACTCCATCAGAACCTAGGGGTATGCTCGGTGGAAAAAGGCTGACGAGATGGCGAAGTGTTATTATCTTGGCATCTTTGTCAAATGTACTTCAACATCAACATCAGTCTATGAACACTGCAGCGGACATGTTCCTCAATCTCAAGGAGTTATTTGGTCATCAGTCGCGGGCTGCCCGACAAGAGGCCATGAGGGTTCTGATGAACATGACCATGCGCGAGGGCACTCTCGTAAGGGAACATGTTCTTGCTATGATGGCCCAGCTGAATGAGCTGGAGATTCTTGGGTCTTTTATTGACGGGGAAACCAAGGTCGATATAGTGCTCCAGTCTTTGCCGAAGAGCTTCGAACAATTTCAGTTGAATTACAACATGAATAAGGTGTTGATGACTCTCCCAGAACTTTTTGTTAAACTTCAGTCGACAGAGGGCATGTTTCGTCAGAATACCCAAGCTATGGTGGCCCAGCGGGAAGAAGCTTCCACTTCTAAGGCTCCTAAGGGCAAGAAGAGGAAGAAGTCCGCAGGAAAGGGCAAGGCGGTCATGAGTGACGCGCAACCTCCACAAAAGGCGAAGAAGCCGAAAGGCAAGTGCTACAGTTATCAGCAGAAAGGACACTGGAAGACAAACTGCCCTCTTCCCAAGAAACCCGACAAAGGTACACCTTTTGCTTTAGTCGTTAAAACATGTTTAGCAGTGTCATCTACCAGTACCTGGTGTGTAGATACAAGGGCCACTGATCATGTCTGCAATTCATTGCAGGGGTTCCAGGAAACCAAGTGACTTAGGGAAGGAGAAGTTACCATCTACTTGGGCAATTCTAGTAGAGCATCAGCAGTTGCAGTGGAAGACGCCTATTTAGATTTTGTCTTAGATAGGTTTCTAGTTTAGAAACATTGTCTTTAGGTTCCTTGTTTTAGAAAGAATTTGATTTCAGTTTCTAAGTTGTTTATGAACGGTTTTTTCGCTACGTTTGATAATAAAGTTGTTATTCGTTTTGGCAAAAAGTTCATATGTTGTG